TTCCGAAGGCCTAGCCCACACGTGCAACGACCAGCGCCACGTGGCAACTCCCGACAGACGAACTCATCGGAACCCCACCTACCCCAAAGGGACCAACCCCCGAACCGCCGTCCCCGAAACCAATGGCTCGCTCGGTCCTGAGCGAACCGCGCTGGTAACCCGAAAACACCCTCTGCGCCAAATTGCACTCGTGCCCCCGAAAGACCCTGTCACAGGAGATCCCAGTTCTGACCTGGGACTCCACTTTCCCCAAAAATCCTTGGCACACCCCTTTTCGCACTTCCAGGCCCACATCCCACTCCGATCAGGAAGTCGCGCTGGGCGTGAGGTTGGTATCGGAGCCCGACACGTGGCTAAGTCCTAGGATTAATAGCACGCTAATTAGGCGATCTGGCTAACCGAGGGCGGCCTCGCCCCCGGAACATGCATAGACACGACCCTGTCATCACCCGAAGCAGATCGGCTAATCGACGAGCAACCAATATGGCTGCTAATGTGCAAAATCCGAATCCGCAACAGAATGTTAATCAACCGAATCCTAATCAACCCGCCCCACGAGCACGGACTCCCATGACGCCACCTGATCTCTATCTATTCGATCCAGCACACCATCTCGCAGCAGCATGGCTGGCCACGCTTAGAGCGCAGCAATACGACGATAACGAAGCTCATGTAAACATCCCCGCTCGATTAGGAGGAGACGCTCATCACTGGTTTAGTACCTATGTATGGGTAGATCTTCAAACCTTTGAACGAGACTTTCTGAATCGATTTGATTACGTTCACCCAGAGCAAGCGCTTTACATGATCAAGGATCGGGTGCAAAAACCTCTCGAATCCGTCGCAGAGTATCGAAACCGGTTCTACCGAATGTTTGTGAAAACTGAGCGAGGAGAGCAAGTAGGGAGAGATCTGTTCATAGACGGACTCCGCAGCCGAACAATAAGGGCGAAGCTGCGAAAGCAGTTTTCCCCCATCAATCACACGCTACAGCAGATCATGGCCGCCGCAGAAGAAATGGAACGGAAGTTCGCGGCGAACATCCTGGAAGGAGAAGACTACTCTAGGGAAGGAGATTCGTCTGAACTCGTAAGAGCCAGAGCTGAACTAGCTGCGCTGCAAAACAAATTTGAAAACATGGGGTTTGTGTCAGGTCCTGTCACCTACATGGAACAGATAGCCCCTAAACGACCAGTTCCAAGTGAGATCCCGAGTGTCTCTGTCCCTGTAATGCCAACGCCTGTAAGAACGGCACCCCCACCCCTAGTTGAGACTCCCGTACGATCGAATGAATCAACTGCCATACTCGAGCTGACCAAAACCTTGGTTAGTCTAATTCAGGAAAGCAAAAAAGAGCAGCGAGAGCACAATGCTCGGTTGGAAGCCATGATGAGGAACATGCGGCCCATTGCGGTGCGTGCCCCTCCGATTCAGCAAGGGTTAGCCCCGACACCCGCTCTTGGAGAAGTCGCAAGCAATCTGAACGTCTGTTATGCATGTCATCAACCTGGGCATCTAGCCCGTGGCTGCCCTCACAGGCCTCCGCAACAACGTGTCGAAGTCGCGCCGATGGCCGCGGCCCCCATCGCTAACGGACCAGGACGAGTAGGAGCTTTGATGGAAGAAGTAGAAGGTGGAGGAAGTGCCTTAGCCACCACGAAAGAAGCCGCCGAGCTAATTCCGTTAGATCAGTACGTATCACTTGGTTATCCCAGGCTTGGAATGATCGGAACGATCAGACCAGCACCAGAACAGAAAGAGGTGGCGGAGTGGCGACCTTCTACAGGAGAGATGGAGTCGGGAGGACCCACCTTCGTCACTGGGGAATTGATGTGCTTAACATCGTTCGAGCCTTGGACCATCGGATCCCCCTTCCGATCGGTCATTTGCTTTCGATCTCGAAACAAGCTAACGAGAGAATGCTACAGCACTGCAAGGCGAACCGAAAACGATTCGCCCTCGCCCGAATACCAAACGTAAAGTCTAAAAACCCCACGCCCGAGGAAAACCCGGTTGGCATGTCGGATCCAATTCAGGTAGGGTTAATCCAGAAAGACGATCATTTCCTGCGGATTAAACCCATCCCGTGGAAATCAGCAGAATGTGATATTGAAATTTGGTGAATTCCTTACAACGCAATTATTGATTCGGGAGCAGCGGTGTTGGCTATTTCACTAAGAGTGGTCGAAAGGGCAGGAAGGAAAAACGATCTGATCATGCTTTCCAAGAAAGATTAGCTCGTTTCGGCTGACGAAGAAAATATTAAAACAGTAGGAAGGATCATCAATGTCGCTTTTCGATTAGGAAAGGTGCATGCACTGGGAGATGTTGTCGTATTAGATGTGAATACCTACGAAGTCCTTTTCGGACTTCCTGCTCTTGTAGCGTTACGAGCAAACCTGGATTTCGAACGACGATCGATTGTCCTCCGAAATACAGGAGGAAAGCCCTATGTTGTACCTATGAGGCTAACCCTTCGTACCACCATCAACGCAGTCCCACGGGTTTTGCCAATGATGGCAGGGACTCTCCGCATGATCTCCTGGGATGAATCCGCAAATGGAAAGTCATCGACGAATGATGCGGACAGCAGTGATGAGGACGATCCGGAAATCTCGAAGCTAGCACGACAGCGTGTTTACTACCCGCCACCTAGAACGTAGCAAGAACGATGCATCTGACCATTCGGAACATTCAAAGGACCAAGGCGATGATCTTGGGTGAACCCCTCGTACAGATTTCAAGGATGGTCGATTCCTTGGAACCTCCCCAAACCTTGTACGAAGGAATCACCCCTCTCCTCGCCTGGTACAGTGATAAAAAGCATTACTGCAACATTACGGATCTACCAAGGTCCCTCTTGACACCCGCAAAAGAAGTGCGAGTGTTGCGCTTGGGGGTGGAAGCAAGTTCTTCGGAACCCCCTGGGCGCCTCAAAGCTGACTCGGACGAACTCAGAGTAAAGATCGTGACTAGGACTGTACCATGGCAAGATGTTTGTGACGGGATTACCCCAGAAGGACACATGGCCATTCGGGAAGAAGACGCCCAGATGATGGTCACGGTGTTCTCCTGGCGATCGGATCACTCCTTCATTTCTGCACCCCCGCCCGATGTGGCGAAACCTGCACGCACAAAACAAATAGATGTACGGATCTGGACCAGCATTTCGAGTTACACGTGCCACAATACGTACCCGATGAGATTCATCGATTGATTGCGGACATTTTGACAAAATATCGGGGAGCGATTGACAGACACTGACATTGGCTTGCCCTTAGTTATTCAACACGAAATACAGACGGGAAATCACTCCCCGACCCATTGTAAGCCGTACCGATACTCCCTGATAGAGCGCATCCCGTCGTACTAGTGCCGAAGAAAAACGGATCAATTCGCATATGCATCGATTATCGCAAGTTGAATGAAATCACGATTAAAGATGTGTATCCCCTCCCCCGAATTGATGATTTGTTGGATGCGATTGGCTGCGCTAATTATTTCATCAAGTTTGATATTCGGCATGGCTTCCATCACATTCTGGTGAAGGGGGAAGATCGTCCAAAGACGGCCTTCGTGTTGTTTGAAGGTACGTGGAAGTGGGTTCGGTGTCCGATGGGGATTTGCAACGTGCCTGCCACGTTTCAGCGAGCGATGAACATGACATTCCATAACTTCGTCAACAAGACACGGCTAACACAGGGGATGATCAACTTCTGCGTGATCGTGTACATGGACGATATCCTTGTCTACTAAGAGACCTATCATGGGCACCCGCAACACATCGAGTGGACATTGGGAGCGCTGAGAGACGTTGGGTTCAAGATCGCGCTTGAGAAGAGCGAGTTTTTCCTCTCGGAAATTTCGTTCTTGGGCTACACCGTGACACGTGGAGGACTGCGGCCGGACTCAAGAAAGGTTGCGGCCGTAAGAGAAGCCCCAGTTCCCATGTCACTGACGCAGGTTCGAGCCTTCTTAGGGTTGGCGTTGTACTATCGTCGCTTCATCAAGGGTTTCGCCGCGATTGCACGGCCACTAACGAACCTGCTAAGGAAGGACCAGCCTCTCAGCTGGGACGCAGAGTGCCAACAGGCTTTCGCAACCCTCAAGGAAGCTCTGGCGACGGCCCCTATTTTGATTCGGTCGGACCCCTCGAAACAGTTCATTCTCATCACGGACTGGCAACCGGAAGCTATCTCCGCTATTTTAGTGCAGAAGGGGAACGATGGTCGTGAACACGTCATCGAATACGTGTCACGCACGGTACCGAACGAGCGAATGAATGACTCAGCACCTCAAGGTGAATGCTATGCAGTAGTTTGGGGAATCCAGCACTTCCATCCGTATCCCTACGGACAGAAGTTTCGCCTCGTAACAGATCACGAACCCTTGCTGGCGTTGAAGAAACTCACCAATTACATGGGCATGATTGGTCGTTGAGCGGTGCGACTACAAGAATACGACTTCGATATCGTCCATCGAAAGACAGAGCGACACGGCAACGCGGACGGACTGACACGTCTGCATCGACCTGCCAAGGTACCAAAGGGCGAGGAAATCACCCCGTGGAAAGAGTCGGACTTGACCAACGAGCCTAAGTACGGACAAGTGGCAGTTCTCCCACGTGGCAAGAAGCAAAACGGCAGCAATGGGTGATGGAGGTAACCCCACTACCCCTCTCTCTCCCCTTTCCTCTTCGTCTCTCCTCTCCCTGCCCAACTAATTTTGCTATTTTTGCGAAGCTATCTCCCACGTGTACTCGGTTTCCATGCGTCCTAACGGGGAAGGGTATGCGGACTGGATAGATTGTCGACAGTGTGTCACACGAGCCCATGGCTCGTGCATCCAATACAGAAACGATAGTAAACCGTGGTTGTGCCTTTTGTGTCAGACTGACAAGATTCCAACCGAGGCTCGCTTTTTGGATGCCACGTCAGAAGGGTTGGAAAGACCCGGAAGTTTAGAAGGGCCGAAGTATGGACTGATATCGCCTTGATTGCCACCCTGGTTGGCAACCCCCTTCAGGATTTCAGCAAGGAAGATCGAAGGAGGGCCAACGAGAGGGCTCGGGATTACAGATGGATAGAGGGCAGATTAGAAAAACGAAAAACAGACGGCAGTGGGATTTGGATGGTTGTACCGCATCCATTCATGAGGTATGACTGGGTTAAAACGGCACATGAAGAAACTGCGGCTCATTTCGCCATATGGATTACAGAGTCGGCTATCGACAAAAATGAGTGGTACTGGTCCAATATCCACGACGATGTGAAGTACATCGTCGCCAACTGTCAAGTTTGCGCCGCTGATAAGGCGTCGATTCAGCCGCCAAGATCGATAGTGCCAATGGTAGTTGAACGACCATTTCAAAGAGTCAGCATGGACACTACCGACATAGTGGTGCCCCCTGGCCCTAATAGTTGTGAGTATTCAGTCCTATTGGTTTTTGTTGACCATTTTTCAAAATGGATCGAGGCCGACCCTTGTCGCACGCGACAAGTCGCCGAAATCGCGCGATACGTCAACCGTTTTCTCGGGATGCACCAGGATACGGAAGAGATCCTGACCGACAACGGGGTTGAATTCAGAGGAGAGGTGCTGAGGAATTTGGTCATACATGGCGTCGCCATTCCGAATACCGCACCCCATATGTCACAATCTAATTGACTGGTAGAAAACGCTAATAGGGTGATAAAGACAGCAGTGCGACGCAACATCGCAGCACGGGATCCGAGGCCCTGGCCCGATATCGTCGACCACATCCTGGCGGTCCATCGCGGTACACCTCATGAATCGACGGGGCTAAGTCCCTTCCAATTAAGGACCAATAGCGTTGCCTGCGTATCAATACCAAGCCTCCCGGATGAATCTACAATGAACCGGCGACCCACCAGGGCCACAGCTCGGGACAAGGCCAAGCGGACCTGGAATTAATGGAGCGGTCCCTTCCTAGACTAACCCGAAAACGCCACAGAATGACCGAGTTGGCCCAAGGCGGACAGGTCCGAAGCTACGAGGCCCGGAACGGGAACGCAGGTCCACGGCCCCAGTACAAATTGGGGAACATCGTGCAGGTGAGGAAATGTGCTCGCCTGGGTAAGCCAGCGCCAGGATTCTTCGGGCGATTTCACGTAATCAAACTCGGACCGAACGATGTGAACACCGTGCGGCTTGCGCCTGAGGTCTCTAGCAGCCGATCGGCTCGGCCGATCATCCGCCACGTATCCTATCTTTGCCTCCTTCCTCCTTCCCCATCTTCGCACTCATCCGTCTCCTCCTCCTCTACAGAAGAGGACGACGATTGTCTATCCCCTATCTCTCCGTCCCCCTCTTGTTCCTTTTCTGACACTCCACCCCCACCACCATCGCCATAAGCTTTCTTACGGAGCGAGCCCTCGGCGACCATCTTTTAGTACCGCGGGGATACATCTCAGCGATCCGACAGGTGCGCCACCCACGACTTAGCCCGGATCTGCTACGGCTGGCGCAGTTTTTCTGTACATAGGGAGTGTATGCCGCCACGGAATTCCGATTTGACGGGATCCCGCAGGCGATAGTGCTCGCGGAAGCAGTGGCTGTCCGTTGTCGATCGGCACCAGGGATAAGCCACGTGTCAACAGCCATTGACTTCAGCGGCGACATCAGTATGATCCACGCACTCCGGCATACCGACATCAAGACGCAGTTGAGAAGGTGGTCGCAGCAACTCGTCGAGGAGTGGAATCGCTCCCTTACGCGCCCTAGGGAGAGTCTCTTTCCCACTGAGGGCATCGAGCTCGGAGGAATCCGAGCATTCCATCATGAACCCGCGGCGGAGCTGCCGGAGCTTATCCACGTCCAACGTCCCCAATGAACCCTACCCCTCTCTCCACCTTTGCGCTCCCCTCTCTCTTTCCCACCTTTTGGCAGTCTAGTCTCCATCCTCATCTCTCCTTCATCCTAGAACCTCTCGCAGTCCCCCTTCTCGATCCTGGGCAGTGGAGGCTTTGGCGCGAAGACTTCGTGGAGTTGTCGGTGTGTTTGGTCGGGATACAGGTGACGTGGGCACAGGACGAAGATCATCGCGCCTGGAGCGAACGATTGGAGTGGCTGATCATTCAAGCGTGGAGGACGGACGAGGACGGCGACTTGCTCAGATTCCTTTTTGGCTCAGTACGTCCCAGCCGTCGCCGACCGATCGTCCTAGAACTTACGATCCCCCTCGCGCAACTCGCGGACGATCTCCCCTTGGACATCATCTCGCAAAGTGACGCGAGCCCAGTTCCTCACGTCCTTGCACGGAGCCTGACACCGTACCTCCAATGGTCTGCGTGTCTGGAGGAACCAGGGAATGACCGCCAGCTGCCGTCGCGGCAAGCGTATCTGAATCCGGGAGGAATTATCAATCCTTCCTTCCACGATCGGGCAGCCGCCGAGGACGAAGCGCTAGCAGCAGAAGAGGAAGCAGAAGAGGAGGAAGAAGAACAGCCCGACAGCGGAACTGAGACAGAAGCAGACGACGAAGAAGAAGAAGAGTCGGAATACGAAGGATTTGAGGAAGAGGTGCGTGACGAGGCTCGGGCGCGGAAGAAGGAAGAAATCGCGGTCGGAAAAAGACAACTGGAGTTGGCCAGCGCAGCCGGCCAACCGCAAGCCGACGACCGGGCCAGAGATCCGGAGCTACCAAAGCCCGAAGATGGAACGACAGCATGCGAGACTTCGGCCCCACCAGCAAGACGGCGACGAAGCCAATCCCCCTCCCCCTCCGCCTCAAACCGTCCACCAATTCGTCAACGTACCGATGCGGGGCATCGGGATTCGTCCCCGTTCGTTATCCCGCCGTCCCCTTGATCATCTCACTCTCCGCCAAGCCACTACCCGTGTCGTCTTCCCTCGCAACCCCTTCCCCTTTGATACTTTTCATTTCTTTTACGCCACCCGGCTCATCGTCTCAGTCTATCCCCACCCTTCCACCCGATGCGCCCTTCCTGATGTCTATCTCCATGTACTTATCCTAAGCGCCTCGTGGCGAGGCCACAATATGGTTGAGGTGTATTGCATCATCACGGGGACCATCCCCGCGTGCGAACACCGCGACCATTTTTGTGCGGCCCTCTTCCGCACCTTCGTTACTCTCTATCCCGACTATCTCGCCTCTCTCCCCCATAGTGGCAACCGCTTTCCCCGTTTCCACCGGATTGTGCGGTATGAAGAACTGCCGGAAACAGTGCCCAGGCTGGATAGCTTTCTCCCTCCTCTCCCGATTAACCCTTCTCGTCGCCACGTCTCCATGTATCGGCTCCCCTTCCCTCTTCCCGTTGAACGCTGGTGGTTGGATGAATAATATGGTGGCACGTGTAATCCCCCTCCTTGGAATGTCGAAAGCCCACCCTGAGGAATTAGTAGAAGAGAAGTATTGCCACGTTGGATGACGTCCACACTCAATTGAACGGTAAGTGGCATAGAGAGAGATTCTCCGCGTGTCGATCGATTAGAGAAATCGACACGTGTCACAAGCAAGCAGGAGCTTGCTAATATTGGAACCCCCTGGGCGTCACATATGTGACGAACCACTTTCTGTAACGCGCGACTTTCTGCGCGGTTGCAATGAGGGGTCCTAAGTTGGGAAGGTTGGGCCAATTGAGGGAGATCGGGATCGGTAGGAAATTGCATCAGTGTCCTTGTTTTTTCGTCTTTTTCGTCTTTTTCGTCTTTTTCGTCGCTTCTTTTCAGATGGCTGGGTTCGGAGCTGGGTGTGTCCTGGGATGGCCGGTTGATTGATTGGTTGACCGAATGGCTGGCGCGCCACCGAGCGCACGATTAATAAATGTTGACGTCGATCTTTTGGGCGCAGACATCGCGCCAGATTTTGCTTTGTTCTTTTTGAATTGTGTCGAGCCCTGATGGCTCTCGAAATTTCGGACTTTCTTCCCAGAACCTGTACTTTTGCTTTCCGCATTAGTTAGGAATTTATGAATTTTGTAATCAGGACTTTCTTTTGCCGCGCGACGCCCTTTTTTGCTTACGTGCTTCTTTTTGCGGCTGCAACGGAATTCTTATTAGTTGGCGCCTTTAATCGGGTGTGTAACTGTAATCTTGGGTTGGCGCCATTGTAACTGTATCTTTCCTCTTGCTCTTCGTCCTTCCCGCCCTCCTTCTCTTTCTTTTGCTGCGTTTTTGAAACTACGGACTGCACGCTCAGATCGATGCGTGGAGAGTGGCTACGTCCCCCACGCCGCGGCCCGGTCATGCAGAACGTAGGCACTCCCTCCTAATCTCCCCTCTTAAGTCTTGGTAATTTCATGTTCTTCGCGCGTGCATGCACACTGTAAATCTCGATTGCGCGATTAGTTTACTCTCTTAACCAGCTGTTGGAAGCTCGGGGTTGCGCGATCAGGAAGGGTCGGCACACGAGCGAAGTAAGAGGTGAGTAGAGCAGGAGTCGGGCGACCCGACGAGCTGGTGCCAAACGCACGGGGTTGACGCGGGCCACGACGGACTGCGGGCGCGGGCGAACCTGACGGGTGCGGGAGGACTAAGCGGGGTGACGGCTTCGTGGGTTGGTGCGCGACGACGGACTGTCCGCATCGAAGAAGAAGAGCGAGAGAGAAAGAGTTGAGGTTGATGGACGCGGTTTTTCTGTTTCCTTATCTTTTCTCCCTCTTGTCTTGTGTACATAAATTTTGATTTCGGCTTCGGGCAGTTTGCCCATTCTTTTCAATTTCTCGGTATTTGGACCTGTTTTTTCTGCTCACATTTGCCCTCGTGACACTCCCATCTTAGATTACGGAATGGATGGATGTATGGATGCCATATTTGATTGCCTATCTTTTTGCTGAGGAACCCTTGTCTTTGCTTTTGTTGGTCGCATTCGACGCACTCGTGTGTAGAATAGGGATTTTGCGCAATCGATAATCCTGTCCTTGTCTCTGCTTGTCTTTTCATCGAGCTGGTTGTGATCGTTGCATCCTGCATGCTCAGAACAGCACAGAGTGATTAGACGATCGGATGCCGGGCTTGGCGAACGTCGCGCGAGGACACATGTAAAACGCGATCGGAGTTGCGCACTTACACGTATCCCCGGG